CTGATTCATTGTTTCATTACCTCACGCCTGGACTATTGTAACGGACTCCTGTCCGGGGTTCCCAGCAAAACCCTGAATAGGCTCCAGTACATACAGAACTCAGCTGCCAGGGTTCTCACATGCACCAAGCCCTGGCAGCACATCACCCCCTCTCTATTCAACCTCCACTGGCTCCCGGTCAAGTCCTGCATCACTTACAAACTCCTCCTCCTCACCTACAAGTCCCTCCATGCCCTCTCCCCTCAGTACCTCACAGATCTCCTCCACCCATACATCCCGTCCCGTATGTATCCTCAGACTCTGGCCCTGCTCTCCATTCCCCATTCACGCCTCCGCACCTTCGGGGACCGTGCCTTCAGTGTCGCTGCCCCCACCCTCTGGAACTCCCTCCCTGCAGAAATCCGCAACGCCCCTTCTCTCAACATCTTCAAATCAACCCTTAAAACTCCTCCGTTCAACATCGCCTTCCAACAATAACTCCCCCCCCCCACACTTACACTTCCATTTCTGCCCCCTGTTTTATGTTTTGTTTTTTAAGTTTTATGTCTTGTCCTTGTATGTTTCTTTGTAAAGCAACCTTGAGGTTATGAAAGGCGCTATATAAATTCAAGTTATTATTATTATTATTAGTGTAATGTTATACAGACAAAAAAATATCAGCTCACTGCCAATTTTAGATTTTTTCTTTTTTTAAATGGATATCACATGAGTTATTTTAAGTTTTGTGTGAAAACAGTCTATCAATACAGGTAAGTTATGGATACACTCTTAGCATGTGTTATTTGTTGCATCAACTTAATATTTAAGTATGGTGTATAGCCTTCACAGAAGCATTTAATGTGTTTATAAAAGCTTTTCTGGTTGTGTTTAAACTTTGCGTCTGTTCCCTTGTCAGGTGGGTAAAGGTGACCGTGGCAGTGGGGGAGGGGAGCGATGCAGCAGTGGAGAGACCGATGCTGGCAACAGACACTGAAGTCCTGAGCATGGAGCAGCCTGGGAGGGTCACTGGTTGAGAGTAGGTTGAAAAAAAGCAAATATTTGATTTTGTGAAACATTTTGAAAAGCACCAGGTGTTAATATTGCTTTGGATGGATTTTGCTTTTGTGTGTTGGCTTGGCTTGACATTCTTTTAAAATAAATGGTGAACTTTTCCTTTAAAATGCCACAGCTGCAGCCTCCAGCTACCCAGGAAGTTATTTGGTGGTAATTACCTCCGATTGGCCCTTCAAAAAAGATGGCATGCTGGGATGGCAGGATGATAGTTGGACCCACACCATCATTAGCATTAAACATTTAGACACACACACAGTGCTAAAACGAGTATTTGAAAATGCAAATGCTAATTGGCTAATCTCATTTTTATTTCTACTCCAATAATGCATCCACATGGAAAACTATAATGCATTTGAGGAATATGGTACAAAAACATTTCAAGTTTTCATTATGATTTTAAAAGCCCCTTCTGGTGATTTCATACAAAACCAATATTTAGCCATTTCGGTTTTTTTTATGAATTTCACAGCGACCATCCCACGCATTTGTTTACATTTCAATTTGTTACTAAAATGTATTTGATTTGATAATAGGCAGCAGTACAGTGATATTTACTCAACCCATGTATTGATTCCAGTCTGGTTCTATTCCAGGTCCAGTTCAATCGAGTGTGGAAGGAACCAGTGATGTCTGCCTGTCTGTGATGTCATCACAAAGCGCCTGGGACTTTGTAGTTCCACTGTTAAAGCACTAACGGATGTGTGGGCAGATGCTGACATTAAGAGGAGTGCCAAAGCTGGACTTGATGCATTTTTCTTACTACTACACTTTTTTCTTTTTTTTTAAAGAAGGACCCTTGTAAATATTTTTCTGTATTACAAAAACAGTTTGTACAGTTTTACTGGGAGGGCAAGTTTTGTTACATTTTTAAAAGAAAAATTCAAAGACTGGTGCCCCCAAACCTTTTTGTTGTTGTTTTAAGATCAAAGTGTATGATAGTGTGTTATTTGCTGAAAATCAGTCCTATCTTTTGAAAATCATGCACCTGCGGACTCACGGAGTAGTATTTGATGGCACTTGCATATATCCCTGTGTTAGTGATAGATATTGACATGCTATGCCTCTTCATCTCAAACTGTTGGGAGACATTTCCGCTTCTCCTGCAGCGTCACCCTGACTCGCTTATAGGATTACACTGACGAGGTGAAAATCAGTCAGACGTGCTCGAGGGACGCTAGGAGTCCTCGAGTTTCGGGCAATCGTAACACGACACAGAAATGATAAATCACATTAAGTGTCTGTGTTATCGCACCATGCTGCCTTTTTCTGCTCTTATCTGACATTTGCTTTCTGCCTCAGAGAACTGGTGAAGATTATTTCAGCTTATCACTTCTTTTTTCTATAAAAACTTGAAATATTCTTGAATGAAAGTGTTAAGCGCATGATAAAGCAACTTAAGCTCCAGTGATCTGTGAACACCCCTTGGCTTTTGCTCTTGTTTTTATGGCTTTAGAACACCCCTTGTGTTCAAATATGGATTGGGTTATGTTGATTTCTGTACAGTCGCTTCAGAACACCTGACATGGTGGTTCATGAATCTCCACATTAACAAAGAGAAATTATCTGTGCTGTTCTCAAGAAAACATGCATTGGAATATCACAACTGTTATGAACTTCTTGCACGTGCTTCAACAATCTTCATTTTTAATAATTGATTTTCAGAAATGATTTAAAAGGGATATCTGTGATTATTGGGTCAAATTGCAAGTGCTTGCAATATGTGTGCAGAAAAAAAGTTGAACTGTCATTTGAACCTGGTTTGAACAGCAGGTGTATGGCTGTGCTGGCTGAATGTCTGCTGCTGTTTCTGAGATACTGTACATCTTGTTGGCTAATGAAATGGGAACTGCTTGCATTGTTCATTTTCTACTTTAAGTCTGCTGTAACTCAATAAATACACAACCGACTGCAAAACCGCCTTTGTGTTCCGGCTTAAATTGATTGCATCAAAAATGTTGGATTTGAACAAGGTACAGGAAAACTGACCGAAATTGCTTTTTTTTTTACTTGAGTACTAAATTATCTTTGTGGAGTTAAAGTTATACAGAAACCCTGAGAAAGTATAGATTTGGCATCTCTTCAAGAATGGCTTGTCTCTGATATCTGGGTTTGTGCTAAGGTATTTTTGCATCTTCAAATCCTGATTTGTTTTTAATCAAAGGCCTGAGCAGCTTTGTTCATTTCATCCAACATAACACCCTTCTCTACCTGGGATTGTTGAGGTCTTTCCATGTATCTTCTGGGCATTATTCTAGCTTTACTAACTTGGTTTGAATGCAAATTAACACATTCAACCAATGGAGCTAATTTGCATCACTACATTAGCATAATGTCCAATAAATGCCAATAAAGCTATATTTAGTATTTGAAGTTGGAACTATTAGTCAAGAGTATAGAATGAGTTGATTAATCACCTAGTTTGATTATTGATTCAAGCAGTTTAAATGTGAGTTCCTTTTTTGTTTTATGGTTGTTGAACTGCTATTGGACAAAACAGTCTTGGCAATTTTCTGACATTTATAGGACAATATTTGATTATGATTAATATATTGTACATGAAGGCAAAGTGATTTTTGACAAGCAGAACTGGCACATACCTGAAAATCCCAGTTTTGCATTCAGGGAACATGGATATTATGATAATCAAACTCAGACTCGATTGTCATTTTAATAAACAACTGTTATATTTACAAAAAAAAAAGAAGCAAAAGTCCCATCTTCACCTTATTTTGGTTGAGATCAAATCTTAAGACAGAGGCTTAAAAAAACCTTTTACACCCGTGAACAATCAGACCTAGAAACAGTGCTCTCTAAATAGCTCTGCCCATGTTCAGCTGAGAGCAGCCTCGCAGTGCGTTGGTAATTACAATGTAATCTGATACTGCACCACACAGGGAGGGAAGGAGAGGGAGGGTGAGGAACACAAAATCAACAGTGTGCTGGAGTACAGCTGCAACATCTCCACTGTCCAATTTCAGGGTGGAAGGAGGAGGACAGACAGAAAAGGGGGAGTGGAGATCAAGAATCATCACATTAAAAAAAACAATTTATTCATATTGCCTTCTATCAGCTTCACATGGACACATCCTCAGTAAGAGTAGAGCTGGCTGTTTGGGCTGAATTGGGCTTAAGGCCACAGTCTGAGTCCTGCAGTCTTGGGTATAAAGTGTGCCTTTTCAAATTACCTCATAAAATTAAACATGAATGTAAATGAAATAATTTTAAGTCAAGGTTTTCCCTCAAGCGGCAGAATGAGAAAAAGCACTTTAACCCCATAGCTTTGTTACTGGGAGTAAAAAGGGGTAAGGGGTGGAGATCTCTCGTTTCACGTCTCTCATTCCCCCCCCAGGCGGAAGCCTTCGCCCCAGTTGTAACGTCCTCTTAATACTCCTCCCCCGCCGCCTCCTCCTCCTCCTCCCCCCTGTGGCTCCTGGACAGCTGGTCTGCTGGGGGGGACTCCGAAGCCCGACACGCCTCCCCTCCTGGTGGGGAAGTACCGATACCTGGGGAGAGGACGAGAGAGACGTTGGAACGTTTCAAATCGAGGAAGCGGGTAATCTCACACAGCTGTTTGTTATGTGTAGTGTTACAGTGCAGGGGGGGCTGACCTATGTTTCTCCATCTCATGAAATCACTTCTTCTTACATTTATTTTCAAAGAACAGATGGTTCAAATTGACTTTTATTTATTTATATATTTTATAATAGTGCTTGAGGTAATACAGAACGGCTCTAAAAAAAAGTTCTGTTATCCCTGTATGATCATCTTTAAATGCAGCCTAATGTATCTTTGGCTCAACAGCAGTCTTGTGGCCACAAATAGTAATGTTAGTAATAGGGTAAACGGTAAAAAAGTGTCATTATGGTGTTATCAGAGGAAAGATATACTCCCTGTAACGCATTGAAATCTATCTTGCAGTTTGCCATCTATCTTACATTGGCAACGATTAGCTACTCGTCATAACAGACCATGTAAGGCTTTAGCAGCAGAGTTGAAATAAGGGTGTGTTTACTTATGTATTCAAACTTTCATGTCATTTAATGTTATTTGTTCATTCAACAGTTACAAAACACTTACAAGAATTGAGGTGTGGAGAGTAGGGCGCGTCCCCCCAAGTCCATGGGGTATTTGAACATGAGGAAGAAGTACAGGTGACCCACCAGGTTCCCTGTCAGTTCATTTACAAACCTGCACAATACAGGAAAAGTTTAGCAAACCTCATAGAAATAACATTCAGTTAAAACATTTCTAATGTGGCTTAACAGGCTATTCTCTACTTTGGACAACAGGAACAAGGACCATTCTGTATTCATTAAAAGACAATACATTTATGTTTGTACTACAGATTACTAATAAACTGTTTCTGTGAACAAAAAATATTTTTTAAATGTTACTTACGAGCCTCCGATAATGAAGTTGAAGGCCAGGATGACCCATGGTAGATAATGTGCCTACAGGAAATATAATGACATGATTATTAGAATAAGCCTCACATTCAGGTAGTGAATATTGTGCGGAATAATGCTGACAGTCCAAACTACAAAAGGGCGTTACGCACCTTGAACCGTGTTCCGAACCAGAAGGACACGATGGTGTCTTTGTTGAACTGAGCCCAGACGTAGAGCACTGACATGATCAGGGGAATCATCAGCAGCTGGAAACATAAACAAACAATATGTTAATACAAACAGCATCAACAACACAGCTGTGTAATCAAAAACGTTATGGGTGGTTTATGAAAAGTGGCATTGAAAATGAAGGGCTTATTGTGAAAAGCCTGACAACCTGATTAATGTGTTTCATAATGCTTACACTAATATGATCAGATAAAGATTATGACTTTAACATTTGCGAGAGGTGTTTCTTAGCTTACTTTTATTGCAATACATTTAAAAAGAGCAACTCTTGGCAGGAATACTGTGCATTTACTTAAAATAAATTGGATTGATTTGATGTGTGCAATAAGTGAAGCTCATGTTAATGTGTTACTTTGTGGTGCAACCTAAACTTTAAGTTTTAGTTAAACCTTCAGTTTAACTGTCCCTCTTTATTATGTGAGACTCAAGTGATAAGTGCAGAATATTTTTATGTTTTATATACATATTGGTCATAATTTGATGTTGTGGTATAAATACAGAGAGGAGAATTCTCACCCGCATGTTCATCAGCATCCCGGTTATCTATAGTAAGAGTCAAGTCAATACAATACAATACAGCTGGAGCCTTCAGATTAGAACAGCTGAGGACTTGAGGGTTGCCAGGTCCAATCCCAACATTGGCCGGCGGTCACCCTCCAATTCGGCCTCTCCACCTCCCACAACTGACTTTTTCCCCCCTACCTTTTCCCACAATTTGCCAGTCTCAATACAAGCTGAACACTTGGTTTAGATTGAAGGAAAACAGGATCTTGTCCAAATGTGCCACATACAATTTCTGTGTCTAGGCGAGGCAAGCTGACAATGGAAGCAGAACACAAAGACAGCGTTGAGATGTGGGCTGGGTTGTGCTGAGTGTGACCTAGATTAGGTTTCTCTGCTCTGCAAGGGTAGACTGACACTGGGCCAGTGGCACAGAGCCACCCTGACATGGCACAGTGCTGCAGAGAGAAAAGGGGGGGGGGGATACCGATGAGATAGAAATGCAGCGGGGCTAATAAGGCAGCGGAGTGCTAGGATCGATGGTGGGGAGGAAACCAAGCTGTGACCTTAGAGGATGAAAGTTGATTTTAAAAGATTTAAATTCATCATTTAAAAACAGGAGGTTTTTAAATTATGAATTGATAAGTGTAACAAAAACAGTTCTGGTGCTTTGTGGAACCAGTTTAAAAAGGATACAACAATGCAGATCCAGTTGAAGAGGAGCATGAAGATGTAGTCTGCAGGTCTGCCATCAAAAGCCCCTGGAGAAGAAAACAGAAAAAAGGTTTAGCAAGACTGTGTGTGTGTGTGTGTGTGTGCGTGCGTGCGTGCGTGCGTGCGTGCCGGGGCCAGGGCCAGGCTTACCCGTCTCTAGCCGACTAGAATAGTGGTAGAGGAAATAGAGATTGACCAGATACAGGAACCCAGTGTTAGGGGTTATTGGGAAATACAAGGTAGCAGTCAGTGGTCTCCAGAGCTGAAACAAACAGAAGAGACATAAGTATAATGTGGTCAGACATAAACATAGCTGTGTGTGTGTGTGTGTGTGCAAGGATCCAGACTTTAAAGGGTTTTTCTTGTAAGACAAATGACATCTCATGTGGATTGTAGATGATAACTTCTAAGCAGAGAAAAAGTGGCACCAGACTCCAGCTGGAGTTCCTCTGAACAGTGTTACCTCGCAGGTAGATTCAAAGGTTTTGTTTGATGCCGATCAGATCGGAATGTAACTGGTGGCCCAAGGGCTGAGCCTTTTCTGGGTTAAATAACTTTTAATCAAGGGATATCATTACAATATTCGATAGAGAAAAAGGTATCTAGTGTAATTTTCAGTTCTAAATATTTGTTGAAATTCAACTCGTCTTTTCAGTGCTTGAATAACCAAATTGGCAAACCTTCTATGATTCTAGTTTATCAAATCTGAGGAAGTATTTATTTTCTGCGTTGTTGTTGTGTATCAGTTTAGGTTGGCTGTAACTAAATGGAAGCGCTAGATATGCTAAAACTCTTGTGAGACCTGTTGCCCGACACCCTTACTTCAACCATCTAAAAGGTCAATGCCAAACGTAACCATCTCTGAAGAACTTTTGCAAATCAAGGGTTGCATTTGAAGATGTCCCCATGGACTCCCACACATTGTGATGGGCATTTTTGCATACTTTTTTCATCATACAGATTAAATTATTAATTTCATTTAAAGACATATTGACCATATTCATCAACAATTTCACTTATCGTTAATAACAGTCCATCCATATCCATAATATAACAGCGTATAAATGAGAATTCATTGTTATTCTATATTCACTGATATTGTTCATGGTTTTTATAGCATTTGAATTTGGAGAAAAAAAACGTCTACCTATTGTAAGTTTAAAATCCGACTTGAATATCCTACAGCTCCCCTCTGAAGATATATTAGACAGCATAATAGTGACAGTCGTATAAACTAAGGTGAATTTTAAACTGAACAGGTCTCGGCAATCTTTTACCATCAGATAAATAGCAGAGGTTTCCATATTATAATTAGTGTATGAAACGGGACTATAAAGGATATTCACGAACTTTTTACATTGTTCTGACTTAACTACCATTTAGTTATATTGAAATGTATCACGTTACATCATAACTAAGCGACAGTAGGTTGAGTTTCAATGTCTTATTCGGCTGCCAAGTGGCAAAACAGTTACATGTTATACATATTATATTTAATGCGTTACTGAATAGTTCAACTTGAAGTCAAATGTATATTCATATTGCATCATATTCTAGGTAAGTTTGTCCGGATTCAGTGAAGATGCGGAGTGATATCAAAGTAAAAGCCTTCCCGCAGGGCTCATTTCCAAGTAGGAAAGTCCCATAATAATTATGGCAACATACTTTCTACGCATGCAAAGCTACAGCACCTGAACACACTGGTTTTATTTCAGCAAACATCGAAAATACTCCGGCTACAATGCAACTTCTGGTTGGTAACTTAATATTTGTGCTGTAATGTTATATTTAACCCTAATTTCAGTGTTGCTAAATTAAGTAGCAGTTTGACAGCATCCGGAAGTAATGAGCTCCTGCGTATCGCCCTCTCATTGGCTGTCACACAGCACGGCCTGCTCAGTTAGCCTAGCTAGCTACCTGCTAACTAATCGCTCACATCGAAAACAAAGCAACCATGGCACGTATCAGCTACTCCAACACACAAAGGTGAACACAAACAAGATACACTTACATGAAATCTACTTATAACCAGCTCTGGAAACAACATGAGATTCCTGAAATCAATCAATCCCAGTTTCCCAATAAAGGGAACAGCAATCGAGGCAGCAAACCAGGACCGGGTGATGAGAGGGATGCTTCTGAACCAGTCCCCGAGGTCTGACATCTTCCCATATAATTACTGCCGAGTTATAACCATGAAACAGGAGCTCCTCTTGAAAAATTAACAACTATCCCCTAAAATAATGCAACCCCCTAGCTGCTTTTAAATCAGAAGTGCTGCACTGCTAACTTTACATGACGTGGCTAATCACAAGAGGCTAGCTATACATAGGTAAAGTTTCCTGGATTCTAGCAGACACATCCGGTTCAGCTTTTCAAAGTAAAATCTATCCCTACTGGGCATAGATTTCACTACAACTGCTTCTACTACTAAAAATAAGAGCAACACAAAAACAATTTATTTGGGGAAAAAATAATGTTAGTGAGAAAAAATTGAAGGCTTGCACCATTTATTAGGAACACGTTTTTTTTAAGCCTATAATAATGTATGCATGTGTCAATTTTTATTTTGTAATAACCTTGATTTGGAAAGTATCTTGTAACTAAATAAATTGTGGAGTAAGAAGTACAACATTTGCCAACAAAATGTATTGGAGTAAAAGTATAAAGGAATATAATTTGAAAATACTTAAGTCAATAACAATTATCTCAATTGTTTTATTTAAGTACAGTTGCTCACAGTAAACTTTACTTTTCTTAGAGTTAATTGACAGTGTTGTCTGTCTTTTTACCTTGTTCTTATTGGTTTACATAATTGATAATAATCATAGTGTTGTTCAGAGGGTTGTTGACATACTCACTTGGCAATTCTTGCAAGTACTTTTGATGAAGTATTATACGTTTTTCTTCTCTTAACAAAATAATTTAAAGTTGTTAGTTTAAGATGTTTTATCATTATTAAGTTATTTACACGATTATTAATTTCAAAGACTGGTTTGTATCATGCACTTAGTTTGAAAGACACATTTTACAACCGGATGTTCTTGTATTATCTCACACCAACACCTTTGTTTGTTTTTGCATTATTCTAGCACTTCCTGTGAAAGTCACACTGGACCAATCAAAAGGAAACTAGCAACAGAAAGAGGCGTGCCCACGCGACAGTTTACTTTCCCCACAGCAACCACCTGTGGAGGGCTCGAGCCAATGAAGCGGAGAATGTGAAACATGTCAATAAGACGACAAATAAAGCCCAGTAAGAATCAATTCTGATGATAAATATCGATTGTAATGAAACTTTATCATGATTTTACTTTACTTCATAACTCTGATGTTAGGTAAACGTTTTCAGGGTTTTGATAATAATTGCGTTCAGCTAATTCAATATAATAGGCCTGAGGGATACATACAGTACTGACTGAGTAAGTATTGTATTGCCAAGTAAGTTTACACATACAATGTATGCTTTGGTGTACGGTGGTGCATACATAATCAACATTTAAATAAATTAGTTGTAGGAGATTATCAGAAATATAATATAACGCTTACAAAAAGAAAACTTAGAAGAATTGGGAAACTGAATGTTATGATGGAGACTGATTTATTCAATGTTTCCCTTTTCACAAATAATAATACAATAGGCCTATAAAAATCACAAAATATAATTATTTACAGATGAATATTACACACTTATTTTAGGGTCCCTCTCAGTTAACTAGACGCTATTTATGTAGTCCATGAGTGTAGTTTTCAACTACAACTCCCATATTGCTCCGCCTATTTGACGTAATTTTAGGGCGCCTAAATAAATGTTCCCAAAACAACCAAAAACCTCTCCTGTAGCTGAAGTTGAAGCAAACTCTTAGGAAGCTTAGAGTCTGATAACCTTTTTTAGGGGCTGTTGAACTTTGATTTACACGAAATGGTGCCGAGCTTTACACCTTCTATCGCCGTAACTGTAGATAAGTGTGTAATGTTATAAAATGAAGCGCATTCAAATTTCGCGCTGTTTGATCCGCCTTTAAAGAGAGACCAGTCTGTTAGCTAGCCATGTTTGTCACCGTAAAAATGCGTCAAGAGCACAAATTAAGCTAAAGAGGAAATTCTGTTGTATATTTATGCTGTGAAACCATACAGACGTCTTTAAAATGGAGGTGACGGATATCGGAAACAAAGAAGAGGGGAAAGTCTGGCATCGACAACCAACACCAGGAAAAGGGTAGGTTTCAAATATCCAGACGATGCACCTGGTTAGTGGTGTAATGTAACTAAGTACTTTCAAGTATGGTACTCAAGTAAAACATTGAGGTACTTGTTATTTACTTGAGTATTTTCCAAATTATATTCCTTACACTTCTTTGCAGCTTTAGGTTAATACGAAATATAAATGGACTCATACATTATTATAGGCTATCCAGTAGTTTATAAAGTAATTCAAATGAACCTTTACCAAGTACAACACTGAAGCAATGAACAAATAAATGCACCAATACTTTAAATAAAATAATTTAAAAAAAACTACTAACTTGCTTTTGGTACTTAAAGTATATTTTGATGCTTATACTTTTTTACTTAAACTTAATTACAAATATGAATGCAGTACTTGTTGTAACAGAGTATTTTTACACTGCTTATTTATTGTAAGGGAGTTATGTTCTGTAACACACTTGTTGCACTCCTCATAACGTTACATTTAACCAAGTATGAACTGTAAACATTTGAATGACAAACACTATGTATAAAGTTTAAAGGTATTAGCATATATTCTATACCCCTAAGAGATCCGTCTTTAGATCTGTTGTTTTTTTCCAGCCTCTTTTTTGAGTTTGTTTTTTAACCACTAGAGCGCATCCATGGTTCCCTAAAACGTGTTGTTGAGTTTGCATTTCTCCTTTCTAATGCGTGTGTTTTTAATTCAGTATACAGGTGTAATTGAAAATTAGAGCAATATAAAGTAGCCAGTGATATATCACACTAGCCACAAATAGTAAATAGTTGGTTGAATGTTTTAAAGGTGTGTTGTTTGTCCTCTCCAGAGTGTTGGTGACGGTGGTCCGCACTGCTCAGCAGGCCAAGATAGTGCGTTTTCTCCATGTGACCTTTGACACCACAGGGGACTCTTTCCTGGCTGGAGATCACCATGGCAACATCTACGTCTTTGACATCAGTAGAAACAGGTGAATGACTGATCTCAAAAGCCCCAAAAGAGTTGTGTTTAAGACATTCACAAATATAATGGGCCACTTACTGTCTTAATTACTGTGCACACTTTCCTTATCAATGCTAGTAATGGAAATGTAATACTGACAATTCTATTTGGAGTGGTAAATACACTTACAAACTTTTTATTTGTCCCAATTTTCTTTTTAATATCCAAGCACATAATAATGTTTTATCATAAATGTATTTTCCTTTTTTTATTTAGAGCACAGAACACAGTTGCCTTAAAGGTCACCTATTGTGCAAACTCCTTCTTCATGTCTCTTCTACATCAACATGTGCCCCTCTGTCTAAACAGATTCTGAAAGTTTCAGGAAGAAAGATTCTCTCTCTTTTTGTCCTGATCCTTTTATATAAAAACCTGTCTGAAAATGAGCTGATCAGATGTTGGCCACTTTATGATGTCATAACAATTTTGTTGGCTTGTGTAACCATTAGCCGCCCCCCCCCATCTCTCAGAGGGGGTGTGGGAGGTGGCTCAGTAACAGACAGAGAATCAGCACTTTTGACACAGAGGGGGTTATGGGATGCTACAATGATCGGTTTGGTGTTTCGAGCCAAACACTTCCGAGACATGTTTTGTATATATCTGAGAACTATAATATATTGATGAGAAACAGTATAATAGGGGACCTTTTAAAGTGATCAGCCCTTACTCCTTAGACTCAGCATGCTTTCACATTTATCTGAGCTTGTGTTTTTCATTGCTTCTTTTCTTCGGTGCAGATTCCGTCTGGTGCAGAAGACGGGGCAAGCCTGCACTGCTCTGGCCTTCAGCCTCCGCAGGACCACAGAGTTCCTGGTGGCCTTGGCTGACTACACCATCAAGTGCTTTGACAAAGGTAGGATAGGAGAACATCCCCACTTCAGTTTGCAAATTGTTATTTTCATAGATGTATGTTTTTTGGTTTTAAAGACTTTTTCTACACGAGTCATTTTCGATGACACCTATCTTTTCATTCCCCTCATTTCAGACACAAAGCAGCTGGTCAGTTGGATGCGGGGTCACGAGGGATCCGTTTCTTCGATCTCTGTCCACAGCTCCGGTCGCTACGCCATCAGCACGTCTTCAGACACGGCTCAGCTCTGGGACATGGACACCTTCGAGAGGAAGAGGAAGCTCAACATCCGACAGTCTGTTGGTATTCAGAGGGTAGGCATCCATAAATAAATAAAAAAGCAGCATTAACAGGTAGCAGTTTGATCACAACCTGAAGCTTAGCATTAATGGGGCACTCTGGGTTTTATCTTTTTTGAAATAGGGGTTTAGGTTTTGTTTTGTTTCATAAATTAAACATATTGAACATCAAATTGAACAAAAGAATCACCAATAAAATATAATTATTATATAAATATTGTAGTCTTCTGCCATGTGTAGTCCTAGCCCTAGTTTTGGGTTAATTCTAAGCTATTTATACAATATGTGTCGCACATGTATGGTAGTCAAACATTTTGTATTCTTTTTCAATTGTTTATGGGGACTGCACACTGTTTGTGTTGCAGGTGTTTTTCCTTCCTCTCAGTAACACCATCCTCAGCTGCTTCAGCGATGACTCCATCTTTGCTTGGGAGAGCGACACGCTGTCCTGCAAATACCAGCTCCCTGTCCCCGACTGTGGGCCCAAAGTCTCCTACAAGGCCTTCGCTGTCACACGGTGGGTCTTTCGTATCACTACACCTCAGTTATTATGTAGCTTCCAAAGTACTTTTTCATGATTTATATTTCCCACTCTCACTGTGTCGGCAGCGATGGTAAGAGCCTTGCTGCTGGGGGGCGTTCCAACCTGCTGCACCTGTGGTGTCTGGACAGCAAACAGCTGATCAGGGTGATTCAGATGCCCACGCAGGTCCGAACCGTCAGACAGCTGGATTTCCTGCCGGACAGCTTTGACGGAGGAGCCAGCCAGGTGTGGTAAATGTTAAACATATGATTATTTTCTCCACAACAAACATGTCGGGTTTGTTTGAGCATTTGTTTCTGTCTATGTAGACGCTAGGTGTATTGAGCCAGGATGGTGTGATGCGTTTTATCAACATCCACACCTGCAAGCTGCTGTTCCACATGGGTTCCCACGACGACGCCATCACCACAGCGACGGTCAGCCCCAACGGCAGACACGTGGTGGCCATCATGGATAATGGCAGCATCAATGTCTACAGTGTTCAGAGTCTCACTCAGGAATTAAACAAGGTAGCAGTGAGTTGTGATAACAGATCAACAATGTCAAAGATTCAGAAGTGATGTAAGGTGTTGTTCTGTATGTGTGTTCATTGTGTGTGTTTGTGTGTCCGCCCGCCCGCCCCTCGGCCAGCCTCCTCTCTCCAGGGTGGCAGTGGTCTCTGGCGGTGGAGCTGATCAGGACTTGTCTAACTTAAAGGTCAAGGTCAGGTCAGGGGTCATTCAGAGAGGCAGGCAGACACAGGTGAAGATACTGACACCCCCTGCTTGCTTTACAGCTGAGGAGAAAGAGGTAGGATGAACACTCATCAATGCTGTTCTATTTTAAATTGTCTTCATTTTTTTTGAATCATAGGAATGTTCCACCACAAAGTATCACTTGCTACAATGAGTGGTTTTTCATGTTACGGTTCTACTTCTTTGAACAGAATGAACTGCCTGCTGGTCTGAATAAGAAGAGGTTGGTCGCTCTGCTCAAAGGGTTTGGAGAGTATCCAGCTAAATACAGGTGAAGATTACTTCCACAGGATGAGGATTCATGCCAACCTTTTTACACTTAGTGTCAGATTAACATGATACATTTGCATTTCTGTGTTGCAGGATGTTCGTGTGGCGGTCTCTGTTGTGTCTCCCAGAGAACCATGCGGCGTACAGCAGTCTGACTGACAAAGGCCTGCACTCAGCCTACCTCACTCTGCAGGATAAATACCCCATCAAAAGTCACAAATTACAGAGGGGCCTGCAGAGGTAATTGCATACACACACACACACACACACACACACACACACACACACCTTACTCTATTCTTAAAAAAAAAAATGTATACTTAAAATCCAACCATATTCTCGCCCCTTTACTTAGTACTTACATTATTCCATAAATGTATTACATTTTGGAGATTTCAACTTTATTCTCTGCTTTTCGACTTATTCTCCACATTTAACCTTAATTCTCAACATTAGAACTTTTTAGTTTTAAAAAATAAATAAAGTTCTTAGGTCCCTAATACCTGACCCTAATGCCTGACCCTGTTACTGTTCCCTAATTGTCCTCTCCTCCACTCCTCAGGGTTCTGTCTGCCTTAGCTCACTGGGCAGCCATCTTTGGAGAGGTGGAGTACCTCCCCCTGGTAGCCTTCCCTTTCGTCAAACTCTTCCAGAACAACCCCATGCTCTGTTTTGAGGTGGTGGCCACTGTCATAGGTACTGAATGTTTGTATTCATGAAGTAACCTTTCTTAGTAGGCACAACATTATGAAAACATATTAAATTACATCAACACATATTTGAAAGTATTGTGGCCTTTTTATGTGTAGAAGGTAGCACTGCTACATTCATAAGCCTAAAACCAAAAATCACTGCTACTAATGCGACTAAAGAATGTTGGACTGTTGTCATTTCGGAACTTATTTTAATTTTGTTTCTAAACCTGGCTCTGTTAATCAGGAATTTCAATGTTTTTAGGCTCAGTTTATCAGTCTGTTGATAACTCAGATGTTTGGTTGCACAGTGAATTGGGGTCAGCACTGGTTTGAATACTTTCCCAACCCCCCTCTGAACATCCTGAGCATGGCGGAGAACGTTCTGGCTCATCATGACAAGGAGCTGCTGCAGCACCTGGTGGACTGTGGCATCACCTCCCAGGTAACTGCAGGACAAACAGGCTGACGTGAAACATGTCCCACCCCTGTGATGCTAGCACCTACTATGCATCTCTATATCTGTCCCAGCTCTACGTGTGGCCGCTGCTGGAGACCTTGTTCTCAGAAGTTCTTACTCGTGAGGAGTGGCTCAGGCTCTTCGACAACATCTTCTCCAACCATCCATCCTTCCTGCTCCTGGCCTGCGTGGCCTACATCACCTGCTGCCGGGAGCCTCTGCTGCTCTGCTCCCAGAAAGAGGACTTTGAGGTAAATAGATCAAGTCAGACCCATAGTCAGTAACTGTATGTCCTCCCCCATCTAATCATCCTCCATTGTCCTGTTTCTTTTCCTCTCAGTATTTCTTCCACCATCGTAACAACCTGGATCTGGGAGCCATGATAAAGGAGGCTTACCGGCTCATGGGCAGCACACCGGCTGACATCCATCCCAGGACTTTGCTCTCTGACTTTACCCCACTGACCAAAGGCCAGTACCCCGTGTTCAACCACTACCCAGAATTCATAGTGCAATACCAGAGCCGGGAGAGGGAGAAGATACGACTGCAAGAGATGGAGTATCTCCGTGAGAGGTGAGCGTATAGCTAGAGCAGTGGTTCTCAACTGGTGGGTCGCGGACCCGTTTCGAGTGGGTCGCAGATGTGCGAGTGAAGAAAAAATAAATAGAATTTTATTTTTTGGAAAAAAATCTAACTTTTATTTTGAAAGCCCGATTTGGTATCGCTGTGCATGCAGTCGGCGTTGGACTGGAAGTACCGGAGATCATAAACAGTTTTGAAAACTTCTGTCACGTAGTGATCATCCGCTCAATAAAACATCTTTGCTGAGGTTGTTTCGAGTCTTCTGGCCAATCAGAATCAAGATTGTTGCCGGAAGTTCCCACGGAGAATAACTTTGCGGTAGAACTATTCTCTATACATCCATGGGTACAACTTCAGATACAAATGAACACATAATGAAATATGACCCCCGGTTTGATGATTGACAGGTCACAGAACAATGGAGGCTATCTACCCTTACCCACAATTTAAAGTAATTCACAGACTATCTCCTCTTTACTCTTCTCTTCGCATAACATATTGTCGGGTAGTAATAGATTTATTTATTTTCTTCTCAGTGTACCAGAATGCGTAGTTTATGTTAGTATTTCTAAAAATCTCATTAAACCTTTTTGTAATGCATACTTTAGTTCTGTGAAGGGATATAAGTGATATATGCACTGTACTTCACTTTAATTAATAATGTATGCTGAAAAGCGTATATATATATATTATAGTACGATTTTTTGTTGAATATATTTGAGGGGTTCAAAATGTCGGGTTGCGAATTTATTGACAAAGGAAAAAGTGGGTCCTGGTCCTGAGGCCTGACCAGTTGAGAACCACTGAGCTAGAGTATTAACAGTTTTAAGAAGATAGGCAGATTTGCATATGAAATGAGCTAAAATGAGTGTAATATAATACATTTCAAGCTGTAACAGATGTTTCATCACACCAGGCAGGAGGTGTCAGCACTGCACACAGATTGCATGCGTCACCAGGCTGAAGAGGAGGCCTATTATGCACAACAGGTAGATATTGTTTATCATAAATCCATGTTAAGCACATATTATGTTATGATGAAATTCTTGTCTTCCTCGTATAGTTCGTCCTTATATGAAAATGGTGTGAGCTAAATACATTATTTCTTCATATGAACATAGGAGCTGTTGCAGAATGCAGAGGAACAGCGCAGAAACATCCTGGCACAAGAAGAGGAAAAACTAACTCAGCAGAGGACAAAGTAGGAGCAAGAGAAAAGAGTGATGTGATTTGGCAGAATAGGCTTCTGACACGGCTCTGTTCTCTGCAGGTTGGCAGCCATGAAAAGAGAGCTGAAGGTGAAGGAGCTACAGCTGCTGGATGCGACCAAAAGACGTTTCCTCAAACACCAACAGGACCTCAGAGCCTCGCAGGTTCAAAGGCTGGACCAGGAGATCAGTAAAAAGGTAACCTGGGGAGATGCATTCAAGGTGGTGTTATATAAGAAGGAGCCCATGTTAGAAATACAAGCTGTGCTGATCACAGTTAATGCAGCTGGTGGGATTGTCTGTATGTATTCAAAGGAAATGTCATTTTGAGCACTGACCCAAGCATAACCCACATGTTGTGCTACAGATGGATCTCCGGGAGCGAGAAACGGCTACAGCAGTCCAGGATCTGGAAGTCCGACAGATGGAGCTGGAGGCCCAGCGGAAACGACTCGAACAGGTGACCGAGATTCAAAAGACTTGAAACTTCTTTTTACTCGTCTTACGCCTTGTCTTTTGATTACCGTAATTTTCGGACTATAAGCCGCACCTGAATATAAGCCGCAGCAGTGGCATACCACTCTCGGTTCCACTTTTACTTTTGCGCGCTACTGTCTCACTCTTTCCCGGCCTCAGCTTTTCCTGGCTGGAACCCGCCGCTTACGGTGGGGGTCCCGCGACCCGGCCTAGAGCCCCATAGAGTTAAAGGGTGTTGGCCGTTAGCTGTAAAAATCCATAGATTAGCCGCACCGTTATATAAACCGCAGCGTCGAAAAATAGGGGAAAAGGCGCGGCTTATAGTCGGAAATTACGGTAACTTCTCCCTCCCTCCTTCCTCTATCCGTGAGAGCATTTATCCCACAGTGATGTCTCATCTAAAGCTAGTAAACATGTTGCAGTTGAAAATACTAAAAGCATATGTTGTGTTTTCTCATGGGACATTTAATAGAGCACATGTTTGACACCAGTCCCAGGTCAGCCTTTCAAATATTTAGCTGATCACATTTTTGTAATAATTGTGCGTCTGAAGTGTTTGTTTGTTGTTTCCCTCAGCACCTGTTTAAGGAGCAGGAGCGCGTGGGACGGGAGGTTGAGGAGGAGGTGGAGATGAAGATGAGGAAGGCAGAAAGAGAGGAGGAGAACTACACAGAGCTGTTACACCACACAGAGACCAACATGCAGGTTAGAAGGACTTTCCAATACGCAGCCAGTGTGATAATAACAACATATGTCAGCATTTCAAACACTTGTGAATTCCTCTGACTTCACGAGAAACTCTCAAAGCCTCGCTGGCACGCAAACTCTGGTTTTGGCCCTGCTACCGGTGAGCTCCCCTCGTATCGGTTAACTCTCTCTCACACACACGCAGGCGCTGGAGGAGTCCCTGGCGGAGGCGTGCCAGCTGGGCCTGGAGTCGGACTGGCAGAGGGAGGTGGGGGGGCGCCTGCAGCAGGTCCACGCCCAGCAGCAGAGCAACAGGGGGAGACTGGCAGAGAGTCACAGGCAGACCCTGGCAGAGGAGGAGAGGCTGGAGGACACCATGAGGGATGATGCCGGGAGGAAGGTGAGAACTACACGAGTGTTTGCCAAGACAACAATTTAAGTATTACTAATGTACAACTACTATAACTAACAGCATGGGCGTTTTTATTATCTTTAAATAAATATAAACAAATGGCTCTCAAGAAATTAATCTTTGTGATCGACACGCATAATATCCCACCTTCAATCCATGAATTAACTGTGAAACATCACGGAAGACATATTGTGGGGTCTGGAAAATGAAATGTTTTGCTTATTGTTATTCATAAAGGTACTTGTTTCATTGCAGTGGGATGAGGTAATGAATTCCAGAGCTCAGTTACAGGAGCAGCCTCTGTCTTCAGCTGAAACGGGTATGACTCCACACACACACACACACACACACACACAC